GAACTCCGACCGAATTCAAAACTGACCTATAAACTTGTAAACCTTACCTGTCCATTTGGGATGCAAATTTATTTGTTGAATAAACTAAATGCCAAGTGCCAATGTTCTCACTATGAAATGTAAAGGATTCCAAAAACTGAAATGTTTATATTTGCTTTTGTTCCATTTCTGGTCTTGAAGTTGAGACGCTTGACTCCATGCAATTCACTTGATTCATGGTCCACCCATCGTTTTCTTACTTCTTGTCCAAACATGCCTCTTTAAAACATCGAATCTTTTAGTCTGCGATGCTTCTTGCCACAAGCTGCTCACAAACAAAAAAACGTATTTTGCTATTTTGTTGGTCCTTCTGTCCTTTGTTTTCCCGATGGCATCCAGTTTCAACCAATATTTCAATATGTTATTACAAAATGGTATGAAATTATTTGAGCAACCAACAGTCTTGCTTGTTCTCGGTTCATTTCCCCGAAGAGGGACAAACGTGACCAGGTCGGTCAAGGACCAAACAACTGGCCTGGCCGGCGGCTCCTTGGCGCCGTATGTTGCAATGGGTGCTTATGCTACGTTAGCCTGATGGCGAGCCTGTTTGTCCTGAAAGCGACATCTCGTGGTGTGAACTGTACATTGACTTCATAGTGCATGCACGTACTCTAGCCCCAACACTCATTCCTGGGACTAAGAAGATTGGGGTTGCGGCCAGGTACGCTTCCAAACACAATCTCCTTGTGTCCCATGCCTCTCCTTCTCTGGGACGGGATGCTAGTTCTTTACCGTGTGTGTCAAGATGCTTGTTCGCAAAGGGGTCATTGATTTGCCTTTGCATATTGCACCAAAACTTTGTCAGCAGGCAGATTGGGTTTTTCTTCCGTGAAGCCGGGCATTGCATCCCGGCCTTCACTGGTAGGTGGCCTCAAGGCTGCACGCTGGTTTCAGAACACTCTGACCAGCACAAAGAAAACTCGGAATGATTTGTCCTTTACTTTGACGACACCACTGCTTCTTCAAATTCGTCATTCATTGCCTTTTTGTTTTCCTCGAATCCGCAACCAGCTCTGCAATTTTGTTCGGCCATGCCCTCAGTATCTTGCTTTCGTGCCTTCCGTGCATTCGTGTTTTCTCGCTGTAACTTGTTCCTGCATTGGGGACCAACCAAGTTGTGCCTCGGTGTCAGGTCATTGCAAGGAGGAAAAGACAAGAAAATGTTGGTTTGGTCAGTGTGTAGAAGAAAAAGACTGACATGTTGTAGAGGTCTTTGATTGATAAAGCCCCCCATAGTTTGGTCTTTCAATCCCCAGGTGTCTAGAGAGCTTGATAGGCCAATCCCGTTTCTTTTGGCTCAACAGATCCAGTTTCCGCAACAAGACATGGAAGGGAAGGAAAAAGACCGACGTTCCATTCACTGTCTACCACCTGCGGTCTGGGGATCGGAGCATCGGATCATTGATCATGTTTCATCCACCGGACTTCTTAGGACGGAAACAGAGCGGCATGGAACTCCGCTGCGCGATCGCATGGAACGCCAGATGAAAGACCAACCCTCGGAACGTTCGGAAAAGCACCGAAACGGAACTCCCCAGTGCAAAAAGGTGCGGCTTTGCAAGAAGTTGGGAGAATTTTAAAAGAATACCAAACTCCCAGCTGGTTCAATCAGTTCAATTTCAATCAAACATTCTTGGAGTTCAGTCCATGCAGCGCATGAAAAAGAAGGGCCCCGCCTGCAGGAGAGCCCAACAAGCCCAAAGCAGCCTTGGCACCTCCGCTTGGTCCTCCGCTTGGTCAGACGAGCCGTGTGATTTGGCATTGAAGAGTTCATCTCGCCCAAAGTACTGTGAGGCATCTAAGATCACGAAAATCAAGTGCGAAAAGTCTAAACTCTGGCTTTTGCCTGGCTGCTTCTTGATAAAAGCTTCGCTGAAAGGAATTCTGAAGAATGTTGCAAAGGAGGTTGAGGCTGTAGATCTCACGTTTTGTGACAGAGTGAAACACTGGGATGGAGGCAGGTGGCTCTGTGTGGGGGGCCGCCTGGAGTACTGGAAGAACTTGCGCCGGCGCCCAGCAGGGAGCAGGCTTTTGAGGCCGCGCTCGGGGCAGCCATCAAGTTAGCTTTGAACTTGACATGCAGGAATGCTATGGGACTGCTTCGGTGATCTGTGTGAAAAATCGGCGTGGTAGATGATGAGGGTATTCACTTCTGTTTTGATGTGCTGCAAACATGCATGATTCACTCTTGAAGTGTGGAGAATGCTTGAGAATTGAATTACATAGATCCATACAATCTGGCACATCCCATAGGACTAATCATGCTGTTTTAGCTCAACAAGGAGACCCTACGCCTCTTGGACCTGTGTTTGTGGGAAGAAGAAGCTGGTTGTTGCGGATCAACATCCTGAAAGTTTCTGGAGACCTTTTCTATTCCCTGTGGCAACTTTTGAGGTTTCACCCAGCCGTGTTGTTGGGTCAGCTCCTGGCGGCCTTCTTTCCGAGAAAGCAATGTCTAGCCAAATTTGGCATAAGGCTGCTCACGCCTTACACCTATGTGCGACCGAAGACTGCAGCAGCATGAGTTGATGGTTAAGTTCCATGTCAATCACGGATGCTACTAGGGGCTCCTGGCATCGCTACTAGTAACAAGAAGCTAAGCAAAGGGCATCGCTACGAACGGAGCAAGGATGAAACGAACGGGGCTCCTGGCATCGTTAAGTTGATGGTGAAGTTCTCGGTGTTTCAGTTTCCCTCATGGGCTCTTTGAGCAATGTGGAGTAAGTCCCATGTCCGTCAAGGAACCGGAAAACTGGCCCCTCAACGGTTTCTTATGTGTTTAAAAGGCTCACACTTCCACCAGTAGGTTTTGTCCGCGTTGGCTCTGGCTCTCCGTATTTAAAGACCAACCTGTGTCATGGCGTGTGCGTTCTCGCTGTGCTCCCTAGTCCACCCAATGTTTGGCCCGTGCCTTTGAACGCTGTGGTCCAAGCACGGGTCAGGGGGGGTGCCAAAAAAGAGCTGGAAAACCAAATCCCTGTTCTGAAGCATGTTGACCCCGTTGAGAACTCCCACATACTTGGAGATGTGAACCAAAACCTCGGACGGGGCCCCTTGCGGTGTCAAAGACACATCAATGGGGGCCCCTTGCGGTGCAATCGGAAACCCTTGGAGGATCGAATCAAACTTCCAGGACTCTGAAGGCATCGAATCACTCCCTGACTCCCTTGACCTGGGCGTTTTCATCGCACCTGGGGGATCAGACACACCTGGGGGATCAGACACACCTGGGAGTTGTGTGTGTCAGTTGCAGTTCCAGCACGGTCAGACACACAGAGAACCTGAGGATCGTGAAAGAGTCATGAAGAAACGGAACGGTTCGTGGCGCGACACAGGGCGCGCGGCCCCTGCTTTCAGGCTGCCCGGTGGATTCAGAGGCCGTGTCATGGTTTCAGAGGGTAGGAGGGTCTCTTTTGAAAGGAGAAAAGCCGTGTCATGGTGGGACCGTGAAACATCTTGACACATGAAACTCCGAACGTTCCTGAAATCTCGCAAAAATCACGGTGTCTCTCGGTGTCTGCCGGCCGGTCACGGTTTTTCTTCTTGTGAAATCATCGGCGTAGGAAATCACCAACTTTGGTTCCAGGTGCCACGCAATGTGCTAGAGTGACAATTGCTTGGCAGCAAAAGTTATTCATGTAGCTGGTGCACTTGCCAGAAGAGACTCTCATGTGCTCACAAGGCATGATAGGGAGCACAAATCGGATGGCTCCCAGATCCAAATCGGCTCAGGACGGAATCTCACAGACTCAGACCTGGGCTTTGTCCCGCGTTACTGGTGTGAGAGGCGATGCGTTTACTCACAAGTTGAGACAATTGAGGGGAGCTAATCAAGAATGATGAATAAAGCTCCCCATTTGGATCTTAGAACCTTTTGAATATGGCAGTGTTTATTTCATCAACAGTCTACATTGAGTTCTGGTCGGTGGCCGTCCGTTTGGCCTTCTGACCGCGTCCAGGCCGGTGAAACCTCAAAGGCAACGCTCAGTCGGCCTGGATAGCTTGGTGGAGGAGTTTGGGAGTGTCTGGAAGCAAACTGAGGTGGTACATGGTGGTACTGGATCAGGGTAACATCAGTGTAACACAAATGGATTGCGGTTGAATCATAGAACGGGCCCTCATCAACCGGAGAAAGACACCACCAAGCCATCGCTGGCCGATGCCCGCTGACCTATGATCTGATCATGAAACCGGTCCCAGACCAATGACATCCAATGACCAAAGATGACATCCAATGACCACGGAATGAGATCCAATGACTCCAATGACCACGGAATAACATCCAATGACCACGGAATGAGATCCAATGACCAATGTCCAATCTTTAGACATACACTACTTGACGGATCTCATGGACTACTTGGACAAAACATCTTTGTTTTGTTGATGATCTTTCAAATTGATCATGCACTACGACCCGACGGATCCGAAGGGGGTGCCCGTCACCCCACCGGTCAAAAGCTCTTGGCTGCAAAGAGTTCCCACGTTGTCCGTGACAGTCCCAGAAACGCAGGGAAACCTATACAATGTGGTGGTGAGCTACGTACTGAAGTTCACTGAAGCATGTAGAAATGTAGAACCTTTGCAGTAGAACTAATGTGGTGAGCCATACAGACCCATGCAGTCACCGTATGACATCTATACGGTCACCGTCTGTCAACGAGACCCACCGTCGTCAACAATAACGCCACCGTCTTCGACGGACGGAACCCTCTGAGTGCTGAAACCACAGGGATGGGAGACCGATCTGATATCCAAATGGCTGTAGGTCGCACCAGCATATGTTGGGCGGGAGAGCATCTGCTACCTGGTGGTGTCCTTCGTGAAGCGAGTTCGGGTGGACTTGGATTATTGGCATCAGGTTGAACGACCCATCAGCAAGATGACCTCGGACATGTTTGGTTCGGCCCGGCCCGTCCACTCCACCACCAGGTGTTCGCTGCCGCACCTCCTCCAGTGCCTCATCCAGCCGCCGCAGGGGCAGCGCCATAGCTCGCCACGGAGCCCGCCGCCTGCGTCGCTTCAGGCGCCGACCGAGGGTTTCAAGCCTCCAACCCGGTCAGCAGAGTGGGACTCGAAAGCCGGGGTGTCCGGTGCCAGTGATTTTGTATGGCCCATGTGATGTGCTTTGATGTATGTGTGCTTTTTTTTGGGTGGCTGGAGACGGACGGGGCAACGGTTCTGAAATCTTGTGTGGATGTTTTAAGACGACTTCAAGGTTTCTTGCAGAGCGGCAATGCCTGCAAATGATCTATTTCCCATGGTGTTTGTTCTCTCGGTCATCATGCATATTGCAATATGTTTTTACAACACTCTATTTTTTGGCCACCTTGAAGTTGTACACGCTCCAGGGGGTCCAAACTGTATCCAGCAATGCCTGCAAACGTAGTACCATTCACGTCTACGTCTTATATCGATCACGCACATTGCATACTTTTCTGTAGTCACTCCATGCTTCGACCTAGAGATGACAAGCACCATGCAGCAAATGAATAAAGAAGTAGCATAAAGAAAAGCTTGCGGAGATTGTTGGATATAAGTAAATTGGACCCCCCAAACAATGTACAATGTCAGGGGGGTCGAATTATAGAGTGGTTACAACTTTACAACAGACAAGCACCATGTAGTTGATGAATGAAAGACGTATATGGAGAAAAAGAAAAAACACTTGCAGGCATTGTGGGTATAAGTTGAACCACCTGAAAAATGTACAATTTAAGGGGGCCGAAGAATAGCGTGGTTACAATAAGCTCTACAGCATGCATGATGACCTAAGATCACAAGTGCGATGCATTGGATGCATGAAAGAAAGAAGTGTATTCTGGAATATACTGTATATATATTTAAAAAAATAAAAAGAAATGCAGGCATTGTTGGATATAAGTTGGACCTCTTGGTGGAGTGATGGTGGTGGTGGTAGTTGGTGGTGGTTGGTTGGTGGTTAGTGGTTGGTGGTTGGAGGACGGGCGGCGGGAGGAGCGGAGGAGGAGGAGCACTAAAAACAAAAGACCCACACATCAAGGTGGGAGTCTGGGTCTTTCACTCCTCCTACGATTCAGCGGTCAGAGGACCTAGTGAAGCTCTTGAAGTCACTCAGGCCATCTGTCAAGGCAATTGGACTCTGTGTTCTGTCAATCCAGCAAATGGTGTGTCAAGGGCGCTGTTGGATGGTGGAGCAACACACATGCTGAGGCCGGTCAAAAGAAGAATTCGATCAGGCCATTCCCATCAAGGTGGAGCTCGCGGCCGGCGTCACCACTTTGAGACAGGTGGGGGCGACTGGCACTCTCATCACCGATTTTGACACCCAGACTATCGTTCCTGTGGGGAAGGTGGTGAGGTTGGGCTACAGCGTGAAGTGGGAGGGACACCTTCGAACTTTGGGATCAAGCTGCCATGAAGATTGACATGCTGCTGGAACATGAAGCTGAGAGAGCCGGCTCTGACGTGAGAAAGGTCTCTCCATTGCGGAGCCAACTCGACGGTCAAGACAGTGATGACCGGGATCGTGACTGGTGTGGCGACTTCTCTCCGCACATGTGTTCTTCGAGGGTGTCCACTATGCTAGAGAGGGAGACCTAAGATCTTCGTGATTTTGGGTGGATGTTCCCAGGAGCCCTGATTTGCGAGTTGGCTCGTCCTTCACTTCAGGGCTCGACGGCCTCTTTTGATCAGGAGGTCCCAGGCATCACTGCAGAGGTAGTCACGATTGGGTGGCTGGAGGAAGGCAGCTTGCTTGCCAGGGTGGGCAACAGAAGAGGAAGCAGGGCCATGTGCTTTATCAAGTCTCGTTGGCAGGGAGTTAGCCCTTTTTTCCCTTTCCATGCCTCCCTGGGGAGCTCCCGGTGACACGAAATGGATATCCTCTCTTAGATGAGAATCACTGCTCTGGACTCTGAACCATCGTGAAAGGGGCCGAAAAGCAGACCTTTTCCGGTGTGCCGTGCCTCCCCTTCAAGATCCCAACAGAGTTGGGAGGGGAGAGCAGAACGTGAAGCATGGCTTTCATGTTTGAAGTCAAGTGAGTCGACTTGCGTCATACCTCTGAAGCCCTGTTGTTGCGGGAAAGGAAACCACAGCTGAGTTTCAGCGGCGCGATTACAATAAAATACAAGAAACATCTAGAGTCCTGCTCATTCGGTTGCGCATCATCCGGGGTGTTGGCTTGGACATGAATTGCCTTTCCTTGCGCCCTCTCTCGAAACAAACGGTGCGGGCCGTTGTCGTCGCGAAGCGACATGAATCGCTTTGCCGTGCGACATGCGGACATGCGTCGTGGATGCCGCCGGCGCTCGGAGAAAAGCTATCTATCAGCCTTTGACCCATCTCTGGTGCTTGGAATTCGAAAACCCTCGTTGAAGTACTCTACACCAACTCGGCTTTGCTCAAGGCTAGAGGTCCGCACCCACGGCACCTTCAGGTGCGTCGACTCGCTGGGCAACGTCTTCAACTCCTGGTCCTGGGGCACGGTCGGTCGCACTTAGAGCACATGGAGCACATCGGTGAAGGAGTCTGGAGTCTCAAATGAATCGATAATAGTCTGTTGTAAGATGATGCCAGCACAAAAGAACCACCAAAACAGAGGATTGGCCAACTTTTGCGACATCCTGGGTACTATCTGGGTACCTCATGTCCCTCCCTCTAGTGGCTTTGCCCAGTGAAACCTCCGACGGAACGTTTCAGAGTCCTGGCAAATAATTCTTCCCGCAGGGGGAATATTTATCAATCAACAGTATACATTGACATGGAAGTGGATTGCATGGTCCCAACTTGGAAGACTCCTTTCCGAGCACAAACAGGGGGTGAACTTCACTGTGGAAACCAAACAAGCCATGGAAACACCATAGACACAAACACAAAATCCATGGCTTCCAACTTTGTCATGGACTTGAAGGATTGGCTTTGTAACTTTGGCGGAATCACCATCCTTCAGATGGAAAAGTTTGCTGCGATCACTGTATCAATCTTCATCTTCTCGAAGGCATCTTCTCGAAGGCACTGCCCTGTGTCAAATGGTTTGTACGATTCTTCGTATGCCGCATGCCCTTAAAGCTGCAGAAGCTGTACACAAAATGCGATGGGACATGGGAACATGTCACGGTCCAGAACCCATGACCACATCCCTTTCACCTGACAGAGACAAACCTTCTTATGCTCCAAACCGTTTGGATGACAATGCCATACCTCCGGTAAAGCCTTTGGAAATCGAACAGAACGGTCTACGTTTACATGGTCCTTCAAACAGAATGCCATACCCGCCAGTGGCTAATTCGGCCGAATCGAATGGCACACCGGGTGAGGAAAAAACGTCTTCCGAAGTGGGGATGCACCAATCAACAATCCTGCAACCACCTGGACAATCAGGCAAAACCAGGGACAGTCTGGTGACAAAAGAGTTGTCACCGGGATGTTCATAGAATTGTGATGATGTAGAGGACGCTACCAAGAGCAAAGGGCATCGCTACTAGGAGCAAGGACGCTACTAGGGGCTCCTGGCATCGCTACTAGGAGCAATGTTTGCAAGAAAATAGACTCTTGCATACTATTAGTTGCACGACACCATCGCCTTTTGGAGTAGAGGCGCTAGGTCAAATGGGGCCCTCTGAGCCATTTCGGGACCGGACGTCTCCAGGTCTCCGGTCCTTGGTCTCAGGAAGGCTCCAAACCAGAAGGGCGCCCAGCGCAAAACAGCCCATCGTGAGCAACAGAAAGAGGTGCCTCGTCTCGTCGTCCCGATCCGGTCACTGTCACCGGGGTCCAGTCAGGACCAGTGGTCACGGGTCCAGGACAGACCGGTCAATCACCGGATTGGTAAAATCTGGGGGAAAACATGACCGCTTCAACTGCTACTGTCTTTTCCTCTCTCTCTCTCTACTCTCTCTCTCTCTCTCTGTAGAACCTAAAACAGACCTCCGACATACGAGAGTTTCTGGCCTTGTCCGACCATCCGACCAAACAACAAGACATCGTCACACGCTCTTCATATTGATCCTTGGAGAATCAACCGTGCAAAAGAGGTACTCTTCTGGGGTTCTTTCTCAAAAACATCATCTTGTTCAAATCCAACGGACATCAAAACCCTCGTTCCTGCGACGACCCAACAAAGCTCCCCGCTCACCAGGCGGCAGACCCTTTTCACGACACTCAAGACCTCCCAAGTGGACTCCCATTACACGATTGTACCACTCACCGGAACACCCCACCCAACCTTGCTGGTCTTCTTCACCTGGAGGTGTTTTTTGTGCGGTGTTCGATGGTCGAAGTGGGAATGGTGGCTCTCCTGCTGCCACCATGACCAGAGATCACCATGCCCAGAGATCACCAGATCTGCGGGTTCCTGATCTTGCAAAATCCCCGGATCTTCCGAGCTCCTTCTCTCTCCTCCTGCTCCTGATCTGAGGTGCTGAAAGGTGTGGATCAGGACCGGTACCGCCTCAGATTTCGGTGGCCGATAAAGGTGAGGGAAGGAATCTGCAAATTGACCATGAGATGGAGAACATCCCTTTTGAGAGTGTGTGCTGATGCTTCAGGTGGTGCAGGAAATACGGATTTCAACAGGACATACAGAACCTCGGGATTCACGGCGTTTAATTGCCTGATTGCGCGGAACTGGGATGGCATGGGCCCAAAATTGGGGTGCCAACGACCCCAATGGATCTGGGTGCGGCCGGGAGGTGTTGTAAGAGACCATCGACCACGAGTCGATGAATCGGGAATTCCTGGCAGTGGCAAAAAGGAGTTATCCCATATGGTCGCAAAAGGAGACTGGAATCAACCTGCCCTAGAAAGTGAACGCACCCCTTGAAGGTACTATCCAGTTGTAGCTGTAGATCAAGACAAATGGATGAAAAACACCAACCCGGACCCCAAACAATTGCATCACGGGTCCCGTGGGCCCCGATAGGTGTTGCCCATCCGTTCATGAAACAGGACGTTCATCCAAATTTGAAGGTCGCGTTAAAACCACAAGTCCGCCAAAATGTCATCAATCGTCCAAAACGTTCTTATGTCCAGTGTTAATACGATTCTTCCTGATCCTGTAGACACGTTTAAAGTCCTTAATCGTCCAAGAGCAAGCCAGCACATTGATCCTGATGTGTTAAAATCCTGATGTGTTAAATTGTCTTAGATGTTCGTCAAAATCCTGAATCTGCCTAAAGCTACCAAAAGTATTTTTGGGAGATGCCCTAGACTTTTATGTTTTTCGAGGATATATAAAAGGAAACATCTTCTGTAAACACCTCCAATCTTCTTAACTGTCAAAAGATCCTTTATTGTCTTACACCGTTCATGCAATTCCTGCCTTTTCTCTGCAAAATTTTGTCATTTGCTGTGTGAATACTCTTGAAAAGATAAGAACCCGGAATATATGAATTGCATTGAATTGCATGTTATCTCCATGAGTGTAGTAAGAGTCTGGTCCATAGACATCTGTCCGATTCTTTCTGCTTATTAACCCTTGGGAATGGATGCCTTCACACTATGCTTTCATAAACGTCGGTTCAAAACCCCCAAAGAGATAAAATCACCTCAGTCGGTCATGAAATACCACGCTGGTTACCGCTGGTTTGTCAAAACATGCAGAAACCACCCGAGTGTCTGCAAAAAAGCATGATAGAGATTTACAGAGATAGATTCGGAGTTCCAGCTACACCCGCTCGCTGGCCAAGCGCCAAAAAACAAAAAACCTCATGTGCCTTTGAGACAAACCCATCGGTCCTTTCTTAAACCTGTTGTATTCTTTTGCCCCTCGAAATTTGGGACCACCTGCAGTCATCCATGAGTTCTCTTCCTATAACTTTGGACTCAGGTCGCGGGAGGCTTCTGCCTTCTGCATTCTTCAACACCGACCCGGTGTGTGATGGTCTGTGTGCCCACCGTCCAACCCCGGACGGAGAGACAGATCGATCGCCACGGATCGCCACGGCCCAAGTGGCCAAGGGCGCCATGCGGCCGCAAAAGGCGATGATGGACATGCCTTGGGCATCGGCCACGCCACGATGCACCACGCGATGGGAGGCACAGGAGGCGATCGGTCGGACTGGACGAGTCGGGGCAAAAGCTGCTCTTCCGTGATGCAGTTTTGCACTTGCCTTGACGAGTGATGGATCGGTGCCGACGTGCCTGACGTGTTGCCAAAAGAAAGGAGCGGTCCATCCTTCACGGTGGATCTTGGGAGGTCTGGTTCTGAGACACATCCACATAATGGATCATAATGATTTCACCATTTCCATTCAAGTGGTCAAAAGCAATGAATCGCTCAGTACCTCAGAGTAAGTACCTAGGGACCTAGAGTAAGTGTAGGCGAAAAGGGAAGAAGAAACAATGATCTAAACACACTGCTTTGCGTTACTATCGCGAGTATAAAGTATTGCAGGACGTTCGTTCACATGCTTGGAAACCTGTTCGTCTAGAAACCATCCAAGCCATTGCCCATGACTCGTGGAACCGTCGCCACAAGCCATGTGAAGCCTTGGGTTCTGGACTCGAGTCCAGGATCTATTCAGAATGATCATGGTTAAGCGGAGTGAGTGAAAACCACCTGTTTGGTATTCGGATTGCCTCCTCCTTTCGGGGCCAGGTCATCCACGTAACAATAATTTTTAGTGGATTGTATTCTGACTGGTGTGACAAAAGCAAGGAACGAGGGTGGCTCATTCTTTTTTCATTCCCTACAAGTCGCTTGAGTCGGAAAAGTTCCAAGTTCCAAACATCTCTCCCTCTGCAACCAACTCATCACACCTCTTTGACATCCTCTTTGACTGCCGAAATCAAGAGCCCGGTTCCGCCCGAAACCACGCGATCGCAGTCAGCCATGTGTGTGAACCTACCACAACCTGGGGTTCCATCGACGTGGACGGCTGCTGATGGTCCAAGAAGGGAGTGAGGGAGTTGCGAGCAATGGGGCAATGGCCCTCCCAACGTGTGACAGGAGCTAGATAAAGAGGGAATAGACAATGATGTTAGACCGCCACAACTGGGCAAACTCACAACTGTCCAGCCTTGTCAACTGCAACGTCGATGAAGTGGCTGATTGTGATCACGTTTCAGGGAGTTTTTTGGCCCCCTCTCCTTCTTCCTCCAACGATGCAGTTACCACCGAGCAGCTCCAAACACGGATTTGAGTGCTGAAGACCTGGAGGAAGACTTTTTCACCTTTCCGTTCTTCACAGGGCCGTTTCACAGGTCTAGGTTTTGAGCGCTCTAATTAGTCTGGTAACGCTGTCACTATTTTTTAATGATACGGCGACCACCGAGATCTACACAGAACACTTGCTCCTTGAAGCTCATTCTCAAGTGTGGTTAAAACGACACAAATCAATGTTGGTGATCTCAGAATTCTGAGAATCTGATAATAGAAATGTTATGGTTAAGGATTGTTATTTATATTTATGTATGTATTCGGAGTAAGCAGACAAGCTCCGCTCCTCTAGCGCGGAAGATTGAAACACGCACAATTCTCACCATCCGTGGCACTGAAGGGATCATGGAAGGTTCGGTGTCGAAGGATACAGTTCGGTGGTCAAAACGACAGAGATCTGATGGTATAGGGATCCTGTGTGAGACCACCTGCCAAGTCCGGCCTGTCAGGCCTCAGGTTGAAGTATAACGAGCTTGGATTCCACTGATAGCTAGCTTAAGCTTCCCTCGAAACAAGAAAACGATGGCATGGCATGCAAATGCATGCAACATCATCAACACTTGCAAATGGAATTCGGCTCCACGAGCGTATCAACATTGGTCCGACATTGCCAGGACATGCAAACGGAAGACTGGTCGGTGCGCCCAAAGCGCCAGTCTTAACCCTTTCCTCGACCCCTCTGTCCTATATAATTAGTCGTACCATGTGCCAAGCTTTTTCGGTTCACCACCTGTGTCCATCGGTTGCATGGTGTACTCACCATGCATGGCACATTCCCAGGCACATATTCCCATTCCGAAAGACCACCGATGCCACCGACCAGGGCGGGGTCTTCCGCGACGGCACCAAGGCTTTGGATCCGACGGCTTTGGTCACGTCTTGCTTTCAGACTCGCGACTTGCTCCCGTGAAGACCACATAAGACCACTGGCACGACTCGTAGGCAATGAGGAATGAATCTGGATGAATGAGGGGTCCTCAGCCACCCTCATTCATTGCTTTCGTCGCACCGACAACAAACCTTTCGAACCAATCGGAGATCGGAGACCAGACCCACATCGAGCGATAGAAGCGATAGGAGCCATCGGATTAACAGGTCCTCTGCTAGCTATCTCGGACTTAAGCTATCGCATCTGGAACTAACTATATACATCAAACATATCAAACATAGCCACAGCCCTTTTGGGGGGGCCTCTACCAGCGCCAAACATGCGCCAAGTCAGGGTTCTGGCCTCCGCGGGAAACAAGAAGGTGATCATCTGCGCCGTGGGGTAGAAGAGCTTGTAGAACACAACTCCGGTCCTTAAGTCTGAGCCCATTGTTTGACATCTGACCAAAAATCTGGGTTGCACCACCTAAGAATGGCTTTCCCAAAAAGTATCCAAGTCGTCGCTCTGCCACCTCAAAAGAAAAAAGAAGAGCCATGGCCCTGCCGTGTTGATTTCCAACATCGCCGCCCTTGGACATCACCGAAGGCTGCTCAGAGCCCATCTGCCGAGCATCACTCCCAGCACATTCTCCTTATCCACGATGCCGCGGACCGCATAGGCGCCAATCGCACAGGCCGTGGCGCTTAGGGAGTAAGCCACGCGTCTGAGGGAGGCTGTCGCGGAAGTGAGAGGTCAGGGTCAAACCAAATGAACGAGTGGACAGCCAGAGTGACTGGCGACTGTTTGGACTGTGGCTTGGGGGAGCTATGGAGGGGGCCAAAACAGCACAGCGCCTGAGATCTCGGACTTTTGGGTGAACTGATCTATACAGTAGCCCCTTCCAATCTATATAACTGGAGTTTTTTCTTGGACATTCTGTCAGGCCGTGTCAGCTGCCTCTTCGCCGCTCAATGCCTCCGCCCCGCGAGCGCGCGCACGGGCCTCGGCAGACTGAAAATCAGGAGCATCGCCACCACGACGCCAGGAAGTCCCACAGCAGCCGTACACAGCAACTCCTCCGGGAAACGGAGCTCTGTGTGCGCCAGGTTTGGGTGCCCCGTCTGAAAACAAGGAGCTGATGGAAGATGGAATGTGTTTGCAGCTTCAATTCTACTACTTTCTCTAGGATCATATCATATAATACCATACAATTACATTCGTACACGCATGATTCTGATCCATTCTGGACTCTCTTTGTCTTTGCCAGACTCGCAGGAAGGCCCTGCAGGGAGACCCTGAAGTGATGTGAGTTTCATGGCACTTGCAGATGGAGTCTTCTTCAACACCACCCAACAGGGAGAGGCGAGTGGCCCAGGGAGACGCAAATGTCCTTGTTACGTTCCTTTTCGAACCTTGTTACGTTCGGAGCGAGGGCCTCCAACCTACTTGTGATGGCCTCCACCGAGTGTAGCTTCCTTGCTAGGTGGGGTGTTGACTTTTGACTTTCCAACCTAAACCCTCCAAGGCTCATGGGGCCCCAAACCTTCACCCTCCCTCCCGCCGTCGCCGGCTTCAAGCCCGTGAGCAGGGTGCTCTTGCGCCAGGCAATGGGGAAGAAGGCACCTCAGGAATATCTAAAAACGAGAGGTTTTTCTCACGTCATCTCCAGCTGGATGGATGGGGTAGGCTGGAATCTGGACTGAGTCGCGACTGAGATGTGATATGAATGAATATGAGTTATTCAATGAGCATGTCAAATGAAGGTGTACAGACTCTATAGATTTAGATCTTGTGCATCTGTGGCTGGTCGTGTTCCCCGGCACCTTCACCACTGCTTGTTGGGGGTCAAGTCCATCAGCTTTTCTGTTTGACCATGGAGGCATCAGAAGTCTTGGCATCTCCTCAGTACACAGGTGTCTGATTCTAATCATACAGTAGCTCCAGGAAGACATCACGACCGAAGTGACCCGGCGCATCAATTGACCAACCCTGGGAGAGCTCGATTGAGTCACCGACAAGAATAGAGGTATATACCCATCTTAGCAGCTCTTCTGTCCCCTAGTAGCCTTGAACAAGTCGCGGGGCCAGCGCCGCAACTCAGTGGCCGTTTTACCAAGCCTCCGGCCCCCTCTCTCAAAAACCCATCGGCCCATATATCCCCATCCTTTTCCTTCGGCCAGATCGGGTCTCCATAGAGCTGATAGAGAGAGAGAGAGAGCGAGCTGACATACCCATAGAGCTGATCCATGTCAGACCTTTGATGTCCTCTTTGAGGAACTTGCCTCATCTCCACGTTGCGCCCACGTATCCGGTTGCCGGCTGAGCCACCCATCCCGTAAAAGGCCAAGTCCTTCACGAAAAACATCACCTGGGCTTCGGCCGATCTGGGTGAAAGACCTGGCGGCTCAAATTGGCCATCGGGACATCATGCGGGTTTGCCTGGTCAGCTCTTGATGATATTTCAACCCCCAGAACCCAAAGAGGTTCTACAATCCATGTCTACATGATGAATCAATTGTCTACATTACGTACATAATCCCGCAAAAAAGGATCTCTGTCAATGGGCAGTGCTGTGTTTGAACACCGATCTCACACATCGCTAAAACCCACCGTGAGATCCGAGCCCCGAGTGGTCCATCGGGCCGGATGGATCCCGTACAGAAACCAAGACATGAAAAAACCTCCATATGTTGAATCTAAGAAAGGTCAAACATGATCAGACAAAAAAAAAAAAGAGACGTTCCAAGAAGACCTCCCTATGTACCTCTTAGGACCTCTTGTGACCTTGCTGTAAAGGCAGACTAGAGTCTAGAGCCTCACCTGCCTCCTCAAGGCTGGAGATATAACTGGACTAAGGTTCCCCACAGATAAAGCCAACACGCTCAAGGAGTGCTCCCGAGTGGTTAAGCTCTGAAGGGCAACGGTGATACTCACAGGCTTCTCCTCCCGGACTGTGAGCTCACTGCTAAAGACCAGAGTCGAGAAGGCGGAGAAAAGGCACGTGGACCAAGTTTGTGAGGATGTGAGAAAGAATCAGTGGTCTTGATACTTGTTCAGTTTCAGTTTCAGGGTTCAACACTTCCAAGTCAAGTTCAATGATATACCTAGCAAGTACTGTTTTCTTAGTTCAACCCCAACCAAACAAGCTTGTTGCAGCAAATACCCCGATATGTGTCAGGTTTTCTGCACATGATGTTTTCCAGTTGCGCACCGGCACACGGTTCACCTCACGATGTTCTTCTTTTCGCTGTCTGCATCCGCAGAATGCAACGTCTTTGCAGAACTACAGTGAGCGGACTTTGGGCTGCGGGTGCTTTCCCTCAAAAACAACTCATGTGCTTTCGCTTCAGAAAACAAGCTATCGCCTACCCCCCCACACCTGCGGTTTAGAGTCGGTTGTGCCGGTTGGTCTCGATGCAGGCATACGCTACAGGGCACCAAGCGGTTCACACCGACATGTTCACACCGAACGCCCTAATTTCAAGTCCACCAGTCAACCGATCAATGTTGAAACATTGCAAGACATATGTCTGTGGGTCAAAACCCGGACACCCTGGTTGACCATCGAAAATGAGGCTTTGACCCACAGCCATATTGAGACCAAAGGATTCAGAATGTTGTCCCAAATCATGACACCTTCGGTTTGGGGTTTGGAAGAAGCCATCGACCCATCCGAGGGTGCCATATGGGTTCACCTGAGAACAATGTGTCGGTCCGCAGGGACTGCTTCATGGGATGATATAAACATAAATATATAACACCCCCATGTTCGTGCTACCTCAATAAGCACTACATGGTGTATCATGGTATTACATGCTACTACAGTAATTTCAGCACACACCACAAGACATATGGCTGCTTTGTGTACACACCCATTCATCCCCGTTTGCCCGTTTGCGCAGACGCAGACGATCAAAACGGCTCGATTCTCCTCCTGGTGAGGTGCCATGTCCGAGAGGTCCACCTGTGTCGAGCACGACCGAGAGGTGCCATGTCTTCTCCGTGAATCGACCGACGGATGGGGCATCGATATACGAGTTGTCGACATGGACGTGTTCCCCTGTTCTTTCTCTTGTTCTCTCAGTCTTTTGTTTTTTGTGTTTTTCTCTCTCTCTCTCTCCAACTGTTTTATCTACTCT